TAGGGAGAGGAAGGAGAGACGGGGTCCTTATATCAGGGCCAAGGGAGAGAGGGGGAGGGGAGGGCTCAAATATCCTCTCTCCCTATCTCTCCCTCCTGTCCTCCCTCCCTGTCTCCTGCCCTCCCTCTCTCTCCCTCTCTCCCTTCCTCCCCTCCATCTCTCTCCCTCCGTCCTTCCCTCCCTCTCTCCTGCCCTCCCTCTCTCTCCCTCCCTCCGCCCTTCCCTCCCCCTCTCTCCCTCCGCCCTTCCCTCCCTCTCTCAGTCCCTCCCACCCTTCTCCCTCCCTCTCCCTCCCTCCCTCCAGCCTGGCTAAAGTACCTAATACACTTAGCTACTACTACAACCTCCCACACCCTCCAAAAACAAAGAAAAAACAAAAACAAAATAAAATAAAAGCAAAGCAAAACAAAGACTGGATTCCTGTGTATAGCCAAGATAATTGCTCTCTTAATTGCCCCTTGTTACAGTACTGAACAACACTAACAACACTTATCCTCTTATCCTCTCTTGCTAATGTTATAGGATGTATGTATGTATGTATGTATGTATGTATGTATGTACAGTATGTATGTATGTATGTATGTATGTATGTATGTATGTATGTAGAAATAGTTCCTACTTGACAAACACCACCAATGTAAACAGAGTAAACAAAACAAACAAACACCTCGCCATGTAAACAAAAACAAACAAACACCTCGCCATGTAAACAAACTGATTTCTGTCTCCACTAATTATTGTGTATTCAGAGACGCCATTAAAGGCCACACTACTGCCCCTTATCTATGGGTTCGTATCCTTCAAGGGTTCATAAGGCTTCTCCTCCTGAACCCACAAACCCAGAGATTGAACCCACGAACCCAAAGATCGAACCCACGAACCCAGAGATTGAACCCACGAACCCAGAGATTGAACCCACGAACCCAAAGATCGAACCCACGAACCCAGAGATTGAACCCACGAATCCAAAGATCGAACCCACGAATCCAAAGATCGAACCCACGAACCCAGCGAGATTCAGACTCATGAACTCGAAACAGTACATACAAAAAAAATCCCATTATATCGAAGGTTCGCTAGATATGAAACCCCCATATAACGGATTCCATAGAGAGATAAGTACGTTATATGGAGGTTTTACTGTGCGTTGAGTAGGAGGGAAGGAGATGAGAGGGTAAAGGAGAGGGGGGGAGGAAGGAGAGAGGAAGGAAGGTAGGAGAAGGAGGGTCTCGAGGGATGAGGGAGAGAACAGTTCTAAAAATAAGGGTTCTGTTGTAAAGCTTCTGTTTACCGTTTAAAAAGCGAGGTGTTTTTCTTCTTCTCATTCAAGGGCTTTTCTCAAGGTGTGTGTGTGTGTGTGTGTGTGTGTGTGTGTGTGTGTGTGCGCGCGTGTGTGTGTGTGTGTGTGTGTGTGTGTGTGTGTGTGTGTGTGTGTGTGTGTGTGTGTGTGTGTGTTTTGTTTTTCTTTGTCAGTTCGTTTGTTTGTGTGTCTTTGTTTACTTTTTTATTTTGTTTTGAATATTTTTAGTCTCTCTCTCTCTCTCTCTCTCTCTCTCTCTCTCTCTCTCTCTCTCTCTCTCTCTCTCTCATCGACAGCCACATAGACTAAAACTCAATAACCAAGCCAGTGGCCGGGTGGGGAGCAGGTGTAAAGTCATCAATGGAAGTCAAGGTTGTGGGGGGGGGGGGGGGGGGGGGGGGGGGGGGACTTGACGAATAAGGTGTGCGAGGCGGCGAGAAGTGGAGGAATGTGGGTGATGAAAGCAAGGCATAGGCGAGGCATGATAGACTCTACGTAGGCGAGGCATGATAGACCCTACGTAGGCGAGGCATGATAGACTCTACGTAGGCGAGGCATAATAGACTCTACGTAGGCGAGGCATGATAGACTCTACGTAGGCGAGGCATGATAGACTCTACGTAGGCGAGGCATGATAGACTCTACGTAGGCGAGGCATGATAGACTCTACGTAGGCGAGGCATGATAGACTCTACCTAATAATACAGCAGAGGTATGCCCCCCTATCTCCCTGGCATCATCTGCTCTGTAAAGCTCTGTATAGTGTTAAAGCGATACGTGATAAAGCAGCTCTGTACTTGACAAACATAGGAGTTCCCCCCCCTCCCCTCTCGTCACCGTCCCCCGGGCATTATGTACTGCTGTTAATGCTCTGCGATGCGATACGAGAGCGATACCTCATTTCTTTTTATTTAGCTACTCTTAAGGGGAATCTTCTCCTCCTCTTCCTCTTACTCCTCCTCCTCCTCCTCCTCTTCTTCTTCTTCCTACTCCTCCTCCTCCTCTTCTTCCTCCTAGAGTGTCATTCTGGTCCGAAGAGATTAAGAGGTGTCGTTAAGTGAGATCAGAAGAAGAGGAGGAGAGGAAGAGGAGGAAGGAAACGGAGGAAGAACAGAACGAGGAGATGGAGATAAAGAGAAGGGGCAAGAGAGAAGGAAGAAGACAACGAGGATAAAGAAAGAGAAAAGAAAGACAATCAGAAACAGAAGAGAACGAGAGAGAGAGAGAGAGAGATTTTTTTGTGTTAATAATTTTCATGGCTGGGGGGGGGGTCCTCACGTCAGAGTTTCATTTTGGACGGGAGGACGTTGACGGGTTCAGCTTTAAGGACGGGGAGAGACGGGAGGAGGAGGGATTCACGCCGTTCTGCAAATAATTAATTATAGTGTCTATACTTAGCCTTTCGCTTTTACGTCAGACATAACTCTCAACAGGTGTTAAATTCACTGTATGTCTTTATGGCTTATATGTCACCTGTTTCATAACCTAACATAAATTAACCTAACCTAACCGAACCTTAACCTAACCTAATCTAACCTTAATCTAACCTAACCTAACCGAACCTTAACCTAACCTAATCTAACCTTAATCTAACCTAACCTAACCTAACCTAACCGAACCTTAACCTAACCTAATCTAACCTTAATTTAACCTAACCTAACCTAACCGAACCTTAACCTAACCTAACCTAACCTAACCTAACCAAAACTTACTTAAGTCACTGTGCTTTCTTCTGACTCGCTTTATATAGTAAGTTAAGCCATGGGTGAGAGTGTTGGTGTAGGAGAGTGTGATATAGCTGTTACGACAAGGGTGTTTAATGTGGCTCTATAACGAAGGAGTGGCTCTATAAAGGAGTGGCTCTATAACGGAGTGGCTCTATAACGAAGGATTGGCTCTATAACGAAGGATTGGCTCTATAATGAAGGATTGGCTCTATAACGGAGTGGCTCTATAACGAAGGAGTGGCTCTATAACGAAGGATTGGCTCTATAACGAAGGATTGTTGCTAGGTGTTATAACAAGGACACACACAATACTAGACTTTAAATTACAAATAAATCCTGTAACTCGTCCCTACGTAATTTTCCTACATGAATTACATAGATTACAGGTGACCTTTACTAGAGGTCAACCTGTCCTGTTATTTAACAGTAATGATCTTTGACCTTTGACTCCTGACCCTTGAAGGCCTCGGGTACGAACTGACCTCAAGTAACAGCTGGTAATTTTACGACTAATTATTTATAAGAGAAAATTATTCGTGGGTTTTGACCTTTCAGATTGCGGTCATCTATGAGGTCAACTTCAAACAAAAACAAACGAAAACAAACGAAAACAATCACAAATAAACAAAAATAAACAAAAATATATCATTAGTTTCATGTTGACGAGTGTTTGGTATACGCTAACCTAACCAAACCTAACCAAAACTAACCTAACCAAACCCAGGTAAGGAACTTATTACCTGGATGAGTGAACGAGTAACAAGTAAATGAGGAAATTAAAAAAAATAATAATTCGAATTTGCCAGTAAAAGTAAGCAGGCACCCCCCCTCCCCTCCCCCCCCGGTCATGCCCCCAGGAGGATACAAGTAGCCCCTCCCTAAGTACACGGTAATGAGAGAAAATACTAATAATGGAAGACCTAATTATCGATAATGGTGAAAGGTTAATGAATAGGTCCAAAGACTCAGGAAGGAAGTAAGACTAGGGTGAGGGGGGTGGGGGGGGGGCAAGGAGGTCATAGGGGTAGGGGAGGGTGGAGTGGGGGGAGAGGGGGAGGTAAAAAAACAAAAGAGGTATCAGAGAGGGGCAGAGACGACCCTCCTGCTCATGTAGTTTTAAACCGGGTGCTCAGAGCGGCGACACTGTCAATAGTGCCACGTTATTAATGGTGAGAGGGGCGGGGAGAGGGGTGGTGAGATTTGGTGAGAGGGGTGAGGAGAAGGCGGGAATATCTAGGGAGAGGAAGAGCAGAGGAGAGGAGCGGGGAGATGAAGAGAGAAGCGGGGAGAGGTAGGGACAAAGGTGGGGAGAGTCGGAAGCTACACGGGGAGATGTGGGTGGGGAGGAGGTGAGGAAGGGGGAGGAGAGATTGAGTGAGGTGGGAAGGAGAAGAGAGTTGCTAGGAGACGCCATTAGGGGTGAGAAAAATAATGGGTGACGGGAGGACAGAATGACACTGCTGAGAGAGAGAGAGAGAGAGAGAGAGAGTAAACATCATTACCTTTGTATGGCAGGTGGGTTGTGAGTGAAAATAAACAGGATGAAGAAGGTGTGTTTGAAGTGGCCGAGAGAGAGAGAGTGAATGGTTACTCTTTCTCTCTCTCTCTTTCCCTCTCTCTCTCTTTCCCTCTCTCTCACTACCCCACCTCTTTCCTCTACGTTCTATCACCCATCTCTTCTCCTCTCTTTCATTCACCATCTCTCTCTCTCACACACACACACTTTCCCTCTCACTACCCCACCTCTCTCACTCTCTCTCTCTCACTCACCCACCCACCACCCAACGCCCTTTACCCATAAGCCCTCTGACAGCTCCACTAGCGGGTTGTTCGTCTCACTCACGACTTAAGTTTCTTAATATTTCCTCATCTTGGGAGGTCCAGGGTCGCCCGAACTCACTAACTGGCGGTGTAGGAGTTACTAATTTGGGGACCTAACCTAATCTAACCTAACTATAACCAAACTATAAACT